AGAGCCTTGCTGCTGGGTCAGGCCAAAGGCCCTTCCAGTATCCTGTTCCCACAGTGGCCAACCAGATGCCTATGGGAAGCCCGCAAGCAGAACCTGAGCATAAGAGCCTTCTCCCCTCCGGTGGCTTAAGACCATAGCATAAGAACAAAAAGAGAGCCTGCTGGTCCATCTATTCCAGCATCCTGTTCTCACGGGGTCAGCCAGATGTGCAAAAATTGCCTTGATTGAGGGGAAGAGGGAAAGAGAGAGAGAGATGCTTAGGGACCACCAGTGAGGAGCATCCTGCCTCCTGCCCCTCTGAGCACCGGCCGTTTGACACTCGAGCCGCTCGGCAGTTTGATGGACGAGGAAGTGCTGATACAGCCAGCACTGTCTTCCGACTAACATCGCTCGATACTTTGCCGAATGCATCCATTTATACGCCGTGATATATAAGGCTATCAAGCGGGTGCAGTAATAGCTCCTGCGAGGATTGGGTTGGGCTCCCCTCCCCTCCCTTCCCACAGTCCAGGGAGGAGGCGTAAATTTAGCAAAACAGCTTCACTAACCTTTGCCTGTCTATTATGCCCAGGCCTCTGGGGCCTGGTTGGAAATTCACATGTTGCCTGGGCTGGCCAAGAGTGGAGATGTTGGGGCCTCTGCCTGGCTGTCGCCAGCCCCACATTGCATGGAGGACTGGTCTGCTAGGAAGAATGAGGCACTGCCCCCACCAACTTCACTCTGTGCTGAGCCAGCCTCCACCTACCTGCCTTCTTACACAAGCAGTCCAGAGGGTGGCCCTAGCTATTAGCATCCTCCCCTTTCCATGCCCTTGTAGAACTCAGCATGGAGGAGGGGAAAACTAGAACTGGCTCTGCCTGTCATTGCCTCTGGCGCCACCTACTGTTGGCCTCCTGCCTTGCACCCTGCTTTTCCCAATGGATGCCAGGCCACGGCCTTTGCTGGCCCTGCTGTGCGCCCTCCTTGAGTGTCTTTGACTTGCTGGTTGTGTCCTTGAGCTCTGATCTTGCCTCCCACTTGTGTGAGAGTGTGCCTAGAAACCAGTCTGCCGTCTTTCTCGCTCCGCCCACTTTTGCCCTGTGACTGGCATGTGGCCCCCTGAAGGTTGCCCAGAAAGGAATGCGGCCCTCAGCATGACAACTGTCCTCCACTTCTGCCCTTTGTCAAAGGTAGAATCTAGTTCCACACCATCATTCTTTCTGCTGGGTAAGTTGCTAAGGCTCTTCTGGAGAGATGGCTCTGTATTGTTGCACCAAGCTGGCTCTCACTCCATTCAATCAGTCAACGACTCAGTTCAATGACAGGCAGAGGGGGGGGGAATTAATTGGACTTTTTAGTGTCAAGAAAAGGCAAGTAGAGACTTAATCTCAGGGGTGTGGGTTTGAGTCCCACATTGGGTGAAATATTCCTGCATTGCAGGAGGTTGCGCTAGATCAGCCTTTCTCAACCTGTGGGTCCCCAGATGTTGTTGAACTACAACTCCCATCACCCCTAGCTAGCAAGGCCAGAGCTCAGGGATGATGGGAGTTGTAGTCCAACAACATCTGGGGACCCACAGGTTGAGAACCACTGCGCTAGATGGTCCTTGTGGTCCCTAACAACTCTGCAATTTATGACTGTAAAATTATGCATGAAGAAGAGTTTGGAAGAAGAAGAGTTTGGACTTGATATCCCGCCTTTCACTCCTCTTAAGGAGTCTCAAAGCGGCTAACATTCTCCTTTCCCTTCCTCCCCCACAACAAACACTCTGTGAGGTGAGTGAGGCTGAGAGACTTCAGAGAAGTGTGATTAGCCCAAGGTCACCCAGCAGCTGCATGTGGAGGAGCGGGGAAGCGAACCCGGTTCACCAGATTACGAGTCCACAGCTCTTAACCACTACAGGGCAGAGAAAATGGATAGAGCAAAGTTTTTGCTCTTTCTCTCAAAACACAGGAACTGAAGGTTGGGACAGTCAGGATAAATAAAAGAAAGAACTTATTCGTGCAGCACAGAGTTAAGTTATGGAACTCACTGCCATAGGAGGCAGTGATGCCCATAAACCTGGATGGTTTTAAAAGAGGATTGGACAAATCTGATGGAGAATAAGGCTATCCATGCTGGATATGCGTTGCTTCCACAGTTGCAGAGATTATGCTTCTGATGACCAGTTGATGGAGACCTCAGGAGCGGAGGAGTGGCTCTTGTGCTCAGGTTCTGCTTGCAAGATGGGGCCGTTTCCCACAGTCGTAAGGGTGGCCACCGTGAGAACAGGACACTGGACATGTGGATAGCTCAGTTGGTTAGAGCGTGGTGTTGATAACGCCAAGGTCACAGGTTCAATTCCCTTATGGGACAGCTGCATAGCCCTGTATCACAGGGAGCTGGACCAGATGATCCTCCATCTCTATAATTCTATAATTCTGAGTACATTAGATGGGCCACTCTTCTGTAGCCCAGAGCTGGAAAGACAATAAGGTTCCTACCAGAGTGGAATGGCAGCCTAAGTTGTTGGACTATGAGGAAATGGCAAAAATGACCAGGAAAATCAGAAATCAGGAGGACCAAAACTTCATCAAAGGATGAGGGAGATTTATATTGTATTTGAGAGTCCACTGTAAACAATTGAACACTTTAGCAGGTCTTAAATGACTCTTGTAATGAAACGAAGACTTTGGACCCAATGGAGAACTGGAAAATGAGAGTGACTTATAGTATGCAGTTGAAAAGGTTAAGTGAAGAACCCACAGAGGGGAGGAGGGGAGGTTAGAGATTCGGAAGAATATGGTGCATTTGTTATTATTTGTGATTTTGAATGTGAATATTAATTTGTAGAACCAAATAAAAACTATTAAAGAAGAAGAAGGATGAGCCACTCTTCTTATGCATATTAGTCGGTTTAATGATTAACCACCTAAAGCCCTTAACTGGCCAACAGTCCTCACTTTGACAGATGAGTTAAACCACAACCCTTCTGGTTTCTAACTGGCTTGCAAAATTGGCAGAGAAGCACGGCTTAACCTGGCCTTTGTGTACACCTCCCTTTCAGGCAAAGATTACCCTGCGGATGTAGTCAAGAGTTTCCCCTGTTTAACCAGCCCGGCCACCGTGGCTTTTTTTGTGCGAGGCGTATAACGTCGGCGGCTCCATCTCATCCTCCTTGCGCGAGAGCAGATAACATTCTGGGGTCAGTTTGCCCGGTGGGGTGTCTTCCTTGGGGACAGTCTTCGCAGGCTGCCAATATTGTTCTTCTCTTCCAGAAGTGAAGCTTCCCTCCGCCCCCAACCTTTGAAGTCCCCAAGGTGGGGGGGGGGGGCGGAGACGGTGGGAGGGAGGGAGGTGTGATTCCAGAATCAAATATTCTGATTGTTTTGCGGGGAGACGATGCCATGCCACCCCTGTCCGAAACAAAAGAGGAAATCACCATAAACTGGGGGGTGGGGTGGGGGTTGCACACAGCTGAGATTAAAATGCAGCAATTGACTCGGGTCCCTCTCAGCTGTGGGGCAGGCCGGGTGGGATTAGATCTGATTCACAAAGGAAGGAGATTGTTTTATCGGGGGCGGGGGGGGGGGGGAGAAGGAAGCAGGGCCAGGAAGGGTCTGCTCAGAACACATGTCAAAACCCATCTTTACATTCCAGTGTCAAACCGTTTTGCTGAGAGAGAGAGAGAGACGGCAAGGCGAATGGCATTTAACTGCCTGCTGAGAAGAAGGAAGAGGCATTCCGAAATCAGCTGCTTTTCGGGGCCTGGGAAGAAGGCAATGCAACAGCGAGAAGGCAGTAGCTCAGTTACTTGAAGGGCTATGTAATCCCACCATGCAGACGGCTCAGGATTGGTGGTGATGGTGGGGGTTCTGCTCCAGGGTCCCTAGTTCAAGGAAATTCAGCAAGTATCCTCTAGGAGCTAGGCTTTTTCACAATTCCTTACTAGCAATACATACCCTCCAACATTGCTCTGATGAATGTAGGGGTTAATAATAACAATAACAATAACAATAACAATAACAATAATACCCTGCCCATCTGACTGGGTTGCCCCAGACACTCTGAGTGGCTTCCAACATATATAAAAGCATAATAAAACATTAAACATTTTAAAAAACCACCTTCCCTATACAGGGCTGCCTTCAGATAACTCAGGGGCTGGATAAACTCCACACCCTCCAACATTTCTCCAATGATAACAGAGACGTCCTAAGGAAAAATGGGACATTCTGGGATCAAATCAGAAACTAGGACAGCTTCTGTAAATCTGGGGATGTCTGTGGAAAATAGGGACACTTGGAGGGTCTGGCCATATCAATATACCTCCCTCAGCACACCTACATTCCACTTCTATTCAGTTGACATTCTGTGACATCACAGCAGCTCAGCGAATTGGTTTTGAGCATGGGAGGAACTTGCCAATATCTGCTAGATGGCAAACATTTTCAAAGCTCTCTCTCTCTCACTCACTCACTCACTCACTCACTATGTCAGTAGCTTAGTAATAAGAGCACCTACTTTGCATGCACAAGATCCTAGGTTCTGGGTAGGGTTAGGAGATACTCCTGCCTGAAACCTTTGGACAGCTGCTGCCACTCAGCGTGGGCAAGACTGAGCTGGATGGACCAATGGCCTGACTCTGTACAAGGCAGCTTCCTCACATCTGTGTTAAAAAAGGCTTCCGAGTCTCACGGCACAAGGCAGAAATTGGAAACATCTGAAATGTATGAATGAGCGTGGAGAATATCTGGCCGGGGTTCCATGGCGAAGAGCTTAAGAACAATACAGGACAAAACTGCCTGTGTCTCTTTGCAATTGGATGTGCAGCTAAAGAGGCCCCTGCAATTCTAGCTCCTTGCCTCCCGCCAGCTCAGATGGAGAAGTTTGCTCAGGCGGCCTGACGCTGTGCACCTCAGGATGCGCAAGGCTGTTAAACAGCTGCCCAGCGTCCTCCAGGCCACGTGCCCTGCAGGCAGCAAGCCTGCGCCTGCGACAGCTTTGCAGTTTTATCAAGTGCCCAATTAAAATACTCTCACTCTGGTCGGAAGACAGCTGTGTCCTGCAAAGGCTGGGGTGACTTGACGTGTCCAGTCCAGCCTCTCACACTCTCCCATTTGCAGTAACAGGGGCTGCCCTGTTCCAAGACGAGGGTCCCCTCCTTCCTTCTTTCCCATCCTGCTGAGTTTTCAGCTTTGCACATCAGATACCATTTTTGTCTGAACTGCATGCGGTCGTGACGATCGAGGCTGGAGGTTTCGCTCCGCGGGATCATCGCCGACCATTTACATAGCCCCTTTCCCCCCACCCTCCAGATCATTGCTGCATCTCCCCTGAAGTAGAATATGAAGCCCTGCAGAGGCAAACCAGCCTTCTGATATATTGGAAAATATTCCTGCAAAATGGCAAGAAGGGTATATAAGAAAGAGCTCTGCTGGATCAGAGCAACAGCCCATCTAGTCCAGCATCCTGTTCTCACAGCAGCCAGCCAGATTGCTCTCCCTTATTGTGGCTTCCAGCAATGATCAAACCTGTCCTGCTTTCATCAGACTACGAAGCCCATAATGCAGTGCGATTGTGAAGGACAGACCCCCCTACCGCAATAAACTGCTCAAGCACTGTACCTGCACACATGCCACACATTTCAAGCACATGGCTTCCCCCAGAGAATCCTGGGAACTGTAGTTTACCCTTCATAGAGCTACAAACCTCAGCTCCCTTAACAAGCTACAGCTCCCAGGAGTCTTTGAGGTAAGTCATGTGCTTGAAATGTATGGCAGGCACATGGCCTTAGATAATCATCTGAGGCTCTGCTCCAGATCTTTTCTTCCCCACTGTCTGAGATTAGATTCCAGGTAAGCAAAGGCAGTGTCAGGAGTTCAGCCTACACTCGAGTAGGACTCTGGTAGAGACACATGCCTGACTGGCATGTTCTCTCCCTTCTGGTCAATCGTTCGGGAGCTTCAAAAGCTTTCTTCAGCCTGAACAACACAGTGACTGATGCCAACAGACATCGGCACACTTAGGGAACCACAGAGTCTGTGCAGTTCGCGTGACAGACCTCAGCAACTCAGCATATTGGCTGATCTACTTTATTTACATATAAACACACACGGAGCACTACAACATGGCTCCCTCTCTCTCTAGCATCAGACAGCAAAGAGAAAAAACAAACAAAGGACAATAGTCCCACTTCATGGAACACAGCAACACAAACATCCTGTCTCTGTCACTTCCCACTCTGTGGAGTCAAAACATATACTGTCATGTGAAAGACAAAAATCCCATGACTGCAATCATAGATCAGGAATTCTAACAGGGAGGGCCTCCTCAGAGGTGGCACCATGCTTATGGAATGCCCTTCCCAGGGAGACTTGGCTAGTGTCAACTGTGTTATGATTCTGGCACCAGGAGAAAAATGTTTTATTTGCTCTGGATTTCCAGCATGCAACGTTTACTGGTTTAAATGACTGTTCTATCCACCTTGCGGAATTTTTATCTGATCTGCAGTTTTCTTTTAATAATGATTTTTATCTATATTGGAAGAGTGTGCCCTCTTAGCCGATGGCACTTTTTCTTATACAGAGTGCGCAGTGTTTAGCTAGTGAATCTTGTCTAGAGAGCAAGCTTTAGTTGTTATAAGCACACAAACACTCAGAGACGCTTGTAGGTAAGAAAATAATAAAGTCGTCTGTTGTAGGAAATGCAAGTTGGATAGAAAAGTTTCTAGTTCTCACTGAACTAATCTAGAGAAGGACAAGGGAGCCATCCTTGTGCCTTTGTTCTCTCAGATGATAGCTCCTGAGTGACCTCTCATCCTGAGATCCAAGAAGAAGTTGTAAAATAAGATGCCTCCTAAGACCTATCAGTCTAAACAACAAAGAGACAGAGAGAGAAGTCAGCATAGAGATCAAGGTATGGAAATTAGGCTAGAAATCTGGAGGTTCCTCACCTTCTCTGTCTTAACTCCATGCATTCCCCTCTTTTGCAAGATGAGTTACACCCTAACTTCTAACCATCTACCTATTATTCATTCATTCTGTTGCTTTCTCTGTTTTTAATTCCCCGAGCGCTGTGCCATGGAGCTCCTGATATAGCTCGATCTCTGAGCAAATATGGAAGAGTGCTGTTAGTCTTCCTCCACGTTACGGAGGCCTGGCATGTAGTGTTGCTGGTGTTATAAGAATTCTAAGGTCCCAAATATAAAATAAACGTTCCTAAATGTACAAGGCAAACACATACATAAGTATATAAACCACAAGTGTCTGAAATAGTACAGGAGAGCAATCCTGAAGCCATTTTGACTCTTCCAGTGACCTCAAGTATTTCTCTGCAAGGAGGAAGGAAATGGGTAACCCTCCCCATTGTCTATTGCTTACCTGTCTAAAAGGCATATATGTGTGTGAATAGGGTGAGCCTGTGACCTGGATTCAGGAATTACAGTATTTACCATCACAAAAGAATGGCCAGGCTGCCCAGGTTAAGCAATCAGTGACCATTATCAAGTATCCTGGCAAACAGGATTTCTGCTGGAGACCTCCTCTTTCTGTGATGTATGTATGATGTTTTGGGGGGTGGTCTTGCGTTACAGGGTGGGCAATTTCAAAAGTCTATATAAGGGCTTGCACACTATTGTCCTGGGTGCCCCCTGCCTCTTGTGTGTGGCAGTGAGCACCCTGCTGCAACAGTTAATAAAGATCAGGCTTACTAGCTGCCTTGCTTCTCAATATTCTCCGATTGGCCTCTGTTATTTTCTCCTTCTGATAGGGGACCTACTTACAGACTCTATATGGGCTCTTGGATACCCCATAAGGGGAAAGGAGCAGTATTTTCATATAACACTAGTCTCATGCGATGGAACGCTCTTCCAGCAGAGATTCAGCTGGCACCCTTGCTTCTGACTCCTAAGAGACTTATTTTCATGTTGATCTATCCAGTCTTCCTCTCCCCGGTCTTATGGGTCCACTCCTTTGTGGATTTACTGGTACTCATTTCGTTTATTTATACTCACTCGTGAGAAAGGCTTCAGGAGCAAACCCTGAGGGGAAATCCCAGCCGATTGCCTTGCAGAAATCTTTGGGAGAGTAGAGTCCCTAAGGCGGTTGCACACCTCCTTCCAGCAACTCCTGCAGCCAAGTTGGTGCCAGATGTATCGCTCTGCTTTCCTTTGGACCACATCAGTGAGGCTGAGAGGGGACAACCCAGGACCTCCATGCACACTGCCCAGAGAGGTCATTTTTGGTGCTGCTAATGCAGGAAAAACAATGCAGGAGGCAGCAGTGACGAGTTACTAGTCTTTGCAGCCACAGCAGGCGCTGTGATTCTCCAGCAGTTTGACTTCACCCCCAGAGGCACACTCCATTGTCTCTCAAGAAAGATGGACACCACCACCACCAACAATGTATTTGTGAAATATTGTTGTACACTGCCTTGATGTTATGCATATGATGGTGGTCTATAAATATTTTACAAATAAATAAATTTGATAACAAAAACCAACAGCCTTGCCAATTCTAAGGGGGGAGAAGTCCGGTAGTTTTGAGATTTTGGGGTGTGTTTGGAGGGGGTGGTGCAACCTTGGGACCCCCTGTGTTCCATATGTGAAATATTTATTTTATTTATTTCCTGAATTTTATATGCTGCTTGATTGTAAAACAACAAAATTATCAGTAAAAACAGTGAAAAACAATTTTTTAAAACATCCAATTTTTAAATGAATAAACTGAAATTCAGATTAAAATATTTGGAGAGGCTTGCCTAAACAAAAATAAGAACAGAAGAACAGCCTCCTAGATCAGGCCAATGATCCACTTAGACCAGCATCCTGTTCTCACAGTGGCCAACCAGCTACCCTTAATAGGAAACCAGTAAGCAGAATTCGTATAGTAAAAGCTATGGTTTTCCCAGTAGTGATGTATGGAAATGAAAGCTGGACCATAAAGAAGGCTGATCGCCGAAGAATTGATGCTTTTGAATTATGGTGCTGGAGGAGACTCTTGAGAGTCCCATGGACTGCAAGAAGATCAAACCTCTCCATTCTTAAGGAAATCAGCCCTGAGTGCTCACTGGAAGGACAGATTGTGAAGCTGAGGCTCCAATACTTTGGCCACCTCATGAGAAGAGAAGACTCCCTGGAAAAGACCCTGATGGAGGGCACAAGGAGAAGGGGACGACAGAGGACGAGATGGTTGGACAGTGTTCACGAAGCTACCAGCATGAGTTTGACCAAACAGCGGGAGGCAGTGGAAGACAGAAGTGCCTGGCGTGCTCTGGTCCATGGGGTCACGAAGAGTCGGACACAACTAAACGACTAAACAACAACAAGCAGAATTCGAGCACAAGAGCACTCTCCCCTCTGTGGTTTCCAGCAATTGGTATTCAGAAGCATTGTTGCCTCCAGCTGTGGAGGATGGAGCATAGCCATCAACTCATGGTCTTCTCCTCCATGAATTTGTCCAATACTCTTTTAAAGTCATCCAAGTTGGTGACCATCACTTCCTCCTACGGCAATTCAATAGTTTAACTATCTGCGGTTTGAAGAAGTGCTTTCTGTTGGGCAGAGAGAGAGAGAGGTTTGGAAGAGATTCTTACTTGCTCATAGCAGAGTTAGCCCAATGGCAATTACTCCAAGCACATAAAAAAATTGGTTAGATTTTCATCTGCCCTCATCCACCTTTAAACAAACATTCCACACCAAAACATTTAGGTTAGAATAAATCACAGGCATTTAGCTTTGTAAACAGGTGAACTTTTTCACTTCCAAAAGTCTCAGAAGCTACAGCAACCAAATTTCCATCCATTGGCTGTAAAATAAGAAAAGGGGCTCCAAGTGACTTAAAAACAAAGGATTTAGTTTCTTTACAAAAAAAATAATCATGTGGTTGTTGCAAATGCAGGCAGTAGAAATATCATTTTAGAGAGATTCATTCACTTGTTTTTTCTCTACAGCTGGTAGCCATGCTGCAGCTCCAGCTTCTTTGATGAAGCTCAGAGAGAGAGAAAGGGAGGAAGCAGAGCCTGCTGGAAGCCTGCTAAGTCTCACCCACTGGCTACTTGAGCTCAAGGCTCAGGTTAACCCTTTCATGAACACAAGCTAATAACTAACAGTTACAACATTCCTCCCCACCAGGTGCCAAAAAGAGTAAAGTGAAGGCATCTGCCTGACGTCATTAGGCAGGGAGTGGGTCAACAGACAAGTGTAGGTGCTGCCACCCTAAAAGCTTGATTTCATTATATATATGTAACATCACTAACAACAGAAAGTGTGGGTTTTTG